AAAAAAATAGTGTGGTTTCACAGACTCGCACAGAAGGGCTGGGACTGGAGGGACGTTTGGCTGCCCACCTCTCATTAGAGAGTGATAACCCGAGCCTTCAGACACACACTGGACCCCTGAAGCTTCATAAATATTACCCAGGGGAGCTGAACGTGAGAATAGAAGTGTCAGACTCAGTTGGATCAGACATTAAACGGTGTTTAATGTTTGATCCAACCAGAGTTGGAGTACTGTGTGGTGTCTGAATGAGCACCTGTATGAGTAGAACAAGTCATTATCCACAGAATTTATGACAAACAAGTGGGTATCATGTGTCCTCGTGTACGAGCATATCCCTCTGCTAAAAGTATTTCCAGGAGTCACAAAAATGTGCGAAAATGGTTGTAAATGAGTCCCAAATCACCGTTAGCACTGGCTTTGATGTGTTCACTCAATTTCAACCCATCAAAGGCTCATTTTATGAATTTGGAAAGAAAGTTTGGTATTAACTCCAGCAACGATGGGTCATACAGTTGCTCGTCGTGTACTGTGCAGTACCCCTAAAGTCCTCAATATTCTTTAAACGATTGCCACAAAATCCAAGGATGTTCTAGCACCTCTAGGAAAAAGACAGCCAGTTCTCTTTGTACTACTACCCGTCACCCCTCCCAGGGTATAGAACGCCAAAGGTAGATCTCCAGAGATTTGCGTCCTGGGCCATCCTTTCTAGAGTCCAGATGTAGCCCATCTTTTTTGCTTCCGCCTCGAGGTCTCGTCGCCATATGTTTCTTGGGGGGCCTCTCTTTTGCTTGCCTTGGGGGTTCCACCTGAGAGCCTGCCTGGTGATGTTAGTTGGCGGTTTGCATAAAGCGTGCCCTACCCAGCACCATCTATTCTTCCTGATTTCTTCCTCTACTGGGTTTTGACAGGTTCTTTCCCATAGTTTGATGTTACTGGTTGTGTCTGGCCACATGTGGAGAATCCTCCTGAGAAGCTGTTGATGAATATCTGGATTTCTCTTTTTATTTGAGGCTTTTTTTTTGTCTTTCAGCCCCTTCAGCTCTCTTTGTACGCTCCAGCTTAACTCCACAGTCTGAAGATTTAAAGACTTATCGTTTGGTTAATTGGCATTCGAATTTGGCCATAGGTGCGAATAATATTTGTATATGCCTGAAAGGATGGATGCTAAAGTGCTCCATTTGTTGTGTGAAAACTTCTAAACTGTTGTAGTTTGAGCTTAGCATAAGCAGCTTCCCCTCCCAAGCTCCTCAAACAAACTACACGTCAGGTCCTTTTACGTGTTTGACCTGTGAAATGCAAATTTTAGTGCTTTCGCTGCGATTCGATACTGTTTTCTGACTCCCTTTTATTCTCACCATTCGTCTCCACTTTCTTCCTGGTTATGTTTGGAGCTTGATATGAAAGTAAAGGTTGTCTGATTCCAGTCACTGATTCAAATCTGTCCACTGAGGTTTCATTTCATCAGCAGTCAGCACAGCAGGCGGAGCTAATGGACTCTTATTTTCACTTCTCCTATCAGCCTTCATTTGTGGACGTGTATCGACAACCTCACTTTGATTGATACGTCAGGCGGCCATCACTCGCTTAATCGGATTTGATGTTTCTGACAGGCAGCCGTAAACAAGACACATTAGCTCTGTTCCTGTACGGCACTGTCCTCCTTCAGGTAATGTTTGAGTTGACTGAAGGCATCGAGTGTTAATCTAGTGAACCTGGCGAGGCCCTCTGAGTGTCAAGTGAAAGTCAGACTTCAGTGCACTGCCTATAGGAGTGCTGAATATAAACGGAGCTGTCTAATGCCTCCAAATGATCTCGCCGAGCTACCTGTCGTCTTGATTAATGGCCGTGGCAGCAAGCGAAACCATTTCCTCCTTAAAAGTATCTTTATAGCATTTGCAGGACACAGAAAATGTAGGACAAGCCAGAAAAATGTCAAGAGTTTAAAATGTTTTATACCATATAAACAGCATATTAAGAAAAGCATCAACTCTCTGTGACGTTCTATCATTTCATTTCATGTTTTCTCTTCTTTATGCTTTACCAGGCTGTAGCCAAGCGTCAGTTTTTTTATATCATCCTCAATCGTGAGCTAAAACCCCAAACGTGTAAGTTGCCTCCATCCTTAGGGATATCTCACCATCACCTCCACCCTTCAAAAGGTTTAAACTGTTCTCTAAAAACAAGCCTTTTACATTATAACACATCTGAGTCAGTGTTAATTTTACTTTCTGCACTTGGAGTCGGTGAGAATTTCACTGCGTCCACTCGGAATCCCAGCTTCCATTTAAAGTGAGGCTGATAATTATGTGTTGTACAGCAGTGTGAACCTTAGCTATAGTAGCCTCTTTATTAGGTACATCAATACATTTCGTCAACTGTTCTGCCTAGGGATGCAACGATACCAATTTTTTCAAACCGATACGATACCGATACTTGGATCTGAGTACTTGCCGATACAGAGT